TCAATGATATATACCTTACAGGAATTAATTAGTAATGCAATCCCTTCATACTAACATAGCTAAATATACATCTTAAGAAGTAAACAGACACTAAACTATGAGACATACTTTAATGAAGTGTATGAATAACAGTTACTTAGCTTTCAAGTTTTCACTCATCTTTAGGAAAGCAAAAACAAACAAGAAAATTGCTTGTTCATTTTTGCTTTCCTGAAGACTAGAATGAGAACTTGAAAGTACAGTACTTGAAAGTTATGTAACTGTTATTCATATACTCCATTAAAGCATATTCATATCTTAATGATTGGTTGTAGAGTTATAATTTATTAAACAAACAGATACTATTTAGTAAACTTTTCCTCTATAGTTTATATTTGAGTGCATGTTAAGACTAACTTATATCAACTAACAAATAAAGATAATTCCATATAATGTTAATAAACTGACAGCTACAATAAAAAATAAATAAAAATAAAAATCAATTTAACATTCACTTATCACATAAAAAGAAACATTTATATCTGTTTTACAGATGCAACACTTTCCATTGGATTAAAATTTCTTATTGATATATATGTATAGTATTCATAGTCTTATTCATGGACCAATCTATACTAATATTATAGAGAGGTAATGTTTGTAAGTTTGTTTGCAGCAGGTAATCTCCAAAATTACTCATCCGATTTCAAAAATTATTTCACCAATATTTAGAATGAAACCTCAGGGTGGACATAGGCTGTATATTATTCCGTTAAACATTCATATAAATTAAAATATATAATCTAGGTTAAGGCTTTTATGTCCAACAGATGGCACTACAAGTACGACGCCCTAAGTTTGCTTTTCTGTGAGGCATTATGCTTTTCTGTGAAAATGAACTAAAGCAGATCATCATCTATATCTATATAAATAAAACTGTAGTGTTCGTTTGTTCCTACCGATTCCTTTGAAATTTTGACACAACGCTGCATTCGAATACGCACGTGTTTTTATATAATATACATGTCGAAATCCCCCTGGGAGATGGACAGGATTAAGGCTTACCATAAAGAACTCTGCTTCAATTTATACTATTTTAGATGCAGTTTTTTGCATTTTTGATTGCGTTTTAATAGGGTATGCCAAGAAAATGTACACTAAGGGATTTTTCGAAAAATTCCACCCCCCCATGGGGAAAGTGTTATACATTTATAATAGATACATTTTGAACCACAACAATGCATGGCGGGATCTGCTAGTTTAAAGATAAGAATGGAACTAAATCCACTAAAGGCGATTTTTATACAATTCAGAAACTTCTTGTTTTTGACAATCTTCTATTTCTGAAGTATAGTATAAAGCAGTGTTTCTCAACCTCTAACGAATCGTCGCCTCCTCCAATAAAACCGTTATGTAGTATCGCCCCCTTCACTACAAAATTCCGATGCCCAGAAAATTGTTTTTTGCCCCCAAAATATAAATTGTTACTAATCTCCCCCTTAACATGGAAAACCGCCAACATGGGGACGATATCGCCCCCGTTGAGAAACACTGGTATAAAGCATAGCATTTATTTAATTTTACACATTATTTTTCTTATTTCTTTAAGTAATAAGCAAAATAATATAAACTTTTTCTTAATTTAAGAAAATCTATTATTCAAGTAAAGTAAATTTTTTAAAAATATAAACTACTTCTTAAATAATTTTAATATAGAACAAGAAATAAAGTATTAATCAAAAATTAAAACAAGTTAAAATTTTCAAAACAATAAGTAACTTGATTATGAAAAATATCCAGGAAAAACATATAAAAACACTCCTCTATTTTTTGGAATAATGCTGGCAAAACTAATATATTTAGTAATTATTATCCAAAAGCATAACTTATTTTTAATTGCTGTTTTAGTCCATTGTTTTTTGTACTTAAGTCATATTGATTTATTCATTAAAAATAATTATTTTCACCTGAATATTTTAAATAATTTATAAAATTAGAAATATGATTGAATCACTTATTCAAAAAAATGTATATTTTCTGAAAAAATCATTAAATTTAATAATATATAAAGTTATAAAGTAATTCATTCTACATTTATTAAAAAAAATTCAACAGATCAAATGACTTCCAGTATTTCTCCTGAAGCACTATACAACTGATATATAAAAATGCTTCACTGAAACAAAAAATATAAGCAGCTTTCAAGTGCTCCTTATATTCAAGTGCTTTTGAATACTATAATCATCAATATAATCAAAGACTTGTAAATCTAATCTTACAATCCTGATGTTCAGAGATTCACTACACTTAAAACTTAAAGACAATCAAAATACTTCAAAACTTCATTTCTTAAATCTTATGATCATTGAAAGCACTGACAATTATTCAGCAACTACCATTATACATGAAAGGATTTCTTTGTTTCAATATAAATTCCAACCAATACTCTTGATCCTTCCTTCATATTATAAGAAAGCAGCATTTGTTTTTCTAATTGATAGAGCTTTTAACTAGAACTTCTGCGATTTGGTTAGAAAGAGACCATCTTCGTTGAAAATAACATGTAAAGAAAACTTACCAAAACATAGATAATTCTCTGTTTACTATTTTAACACTCTTCCTATTCATATAATACATAAAAAAGTAAAAATGTTTGAAAACATCTCTGGCACTTAATAGAAACTATCTATCTTTAAGGATTATGCAACAATGAATTGTGTGTTAACTCACTAAAAAGAAGCAAAGTATACAGGATTCCTAGCAGACAAAACAACAACATACTATAGATGTTAAATTATCCATGTTGTTCTTATGTTGTCCTTAAGAATAAAGGTGCTTGGTAGACATCAAAACAAGTGGCAACAATAGCAATTGTCTATTATATTATAATACTGAAATCCAAAACCAAAAACTATATAATAACTGTAAAACAGCTAAATCAGTTTAGATATATGGAAGTCATAGTTCTATTCCATTTAGATTTGTCTGATTCCTATTGTTGAATATATAATACTCAAAAGCATTTTAATCTATCTTTTAATTTGTTCCCCCAATGAAACATTTTTATTGCGATTTCCAATATTTTTGAAGTGATAAGGTTATAAAAATTTCTCTATTGAAATTTATTTTAAAAATTTTAAATATATGCTACTTTCTTGTTTATCAAGCAAAGCTAATTCTAACTAAAGAAGTCTAAGTAATAAAGGTAAAAGTATTTTATTTCCAATATTTGAAGTTTTTTGGCTATTATTATATACTCATACTGTCCTAATATCATTCAAATTTATATTATTTAATACGATTTACATTTAAAAAAGTGAATATTTCAAAAAGACTAAAAGAAAATAAAAATGAAATTTATACACTAAAGGTATCTAACAACTGATCACATCTTTTCAAATACATTTTTAGAATTATGTGAGAAATTTATATTTATACAGANTCGAGAATTGGGTAAAACCCTCGTACAACAGGAAATGTAATAAATTTTAATATACACATCAAAACAATAAAATGCATATACATAATTAAAAACTTATAAAATATATAAAAATTGGTAAACTTCATATAATATAAAAACTAAGAGTTAAAAATTATAAGTATTTTTTTTTTTACATATAATTTTAAAACATTGAAATCAAAAAATAAAAAGGTTCCACATTTAAAGTTTCTCTGCATTAGTGATTGATTTGATAATTTAAAATAATTGCTTAGTTTTAATTATATTTTGTAAAGAAATATCAATGATAATTATTTTACTTACTAGTCCAAATATCTCAAAATTCTTCAAATCACTGCATTTTTAGCTAAGACACAAGCGATGTTTCGTTACTTGTTCTTTCTTCAACAAAATTATCTTCTGGACTATAGAAAATATTTAATTGCAACATAGTTTACAAGTTTATCATTTATTATTGTAGAATAAATAATAATCTATAAGATTAAAACACAGTTAAAAAATAAAATACGGATTTAAATTTCAATTAATTATATATAAGACTACACAGATCCACATTTCTGTCAATATAGTATATAAAATCTATACATAACTTTAACTAAATAAAAACAATTAATCCTATGTATTACCAAACTGAGAAAAGAATATAAATACCCTGTATAGATTAACCCATTAGAGTATAAAGTTTCCTATGCAGAATTTTTTAAATTGTTTAAATTTTCTAAAGTATTTGACTTTATGTAATTTCATTTTTTGCACCAAAATTGAAATAAAGGAAATGTGTACATAATTTGTTTATGGTCAATTACAAATAGGCCTATTTATTATTGTTAATAAAATTTCATTTATACTTCTAATCTAATAGGAATGATAATCTTTGAAAAAATTTTAAATATATGCTACTTTCTTGTTTATCAAGCAAAGCTAATTCTAACTAAAGAAGTCTAAGTAATAAAGGTAAAAGTATTTTATTTCCAATATTTGAAGTTTTTTGGCTATTATTATATACTCATACTGTCCTAATATCATTCAAATTTATATTATTTAATACGATTTACATTTAAAAAAGTGAATATTTCAAAAAGACTAAAAGAAAATAAAAATGAAATTTATACACTAAAGGTATCTAACAACTGATCACATCTTTTCAAATACATTTTTAGAATTATGTGAGAAATTTATATTTATACAGATATTTATTTTATTTATTTATAATTTGCAAAGTAATGCTATATGGTGTGTGATGACTAATCCCAAAAAACAACTGGTTTGTCCCACAAAAATAATAGTAACAAAATACATCAAAACAATAAAATGCATATACATAATTAAAAACTTATAAAATATATAAAAATTGGTAAACTTCATATAATATAAAAACTAAGAGTTAAAAATTATAAGTATTTTTTTTTTTACATATAATTTTAAAACATTGAAATCAAAAAATAAAAAGGTTCCACATTTAAAGTTTCTCTGCATTAGTGATTGATTTGATAATTTAAAATAATTGCTTAGTTTTAATTATATTTTGTAAAGAAATATCAATGATAATTATTTTACTTACTAGTCCAAATATCTCAAAATTCTTCAAATCACTGCATTTTTAGCTAAGACACAAGCGATGTTTCGTTACTTGTTCTTTCTTCAACAAAATTATCTTCTGGACTATAGAAAATATTTAATTGCAACATAGTTTACAAGTTTATCATTTATTATTGTAGAATAAATAATAATCTATAAGATTAAAACACAGTTAAAAAATAAAATACGGATTTAAATTTCAATTAATTATATATAAGACTACACAGATCCACATTTCTGTCAATATAGTATATAAAATCTATACATAACTTTAACTAAATAAAAACAATTAATCCTATGTATTACCAAACTGAGAAAAGAATATAAATACCCTGTATAGATTAACCCATTAGAGTATAAAGTTTCCTATGCAGAATTTTTTAAATTGTTTAAATTTTCTAAAGTATTTGACTTTATGTAATTTCATTTTTTGCACCAAAATTGAAATAAAGGAAATGTGTACATAATTTGTTTATGGTCAATTACAAATAGGCCTATTTATTATTGTTAATAAAATTTCATTTATACTTCTAATCTAATAGGAATGATAATCTTTGAAAAATTTTAAATATAAACCCATATCATTGTATACTTTTGATACAAACTTGATTTTTCTTCATAGAAACATTTTTTTTTCTTTTGACAAGAAATTATCCAATGAATTTTTCCATCAAAGAAGATGTCTACATTAGGATCATGACACTGGCTTTCATCTTTCCAATGCTGTTCCATAACATTTCAACAAAGCAGAGTATAAGCTTTTTTGAAACTTGACAAGACTAATGTTTCATCATTTGTTGAGACTATACAGCAAGAACATTAACTAACAGGCAAAAATTGGCCAGTATCATTTCTTTGGATACATTCTCATTCTATACTTTCTGATGAATAAAGTTCACTCTTCCCACTGTTTTATTAGATAAACTAAATAGCTGTAAAACCACTTTACTTTCTTCAGGATTTGTTCTTTTAGAATCTTCAATAATTATAATATATGTAATGAATTATAATTAATTCAATTATTTCAATAACAGAAAGAATAAGTGAACAAACGTTAATTATAAACCAGTAGTTGCAAAACAGAAGGGTTTCTAAAACAACAATGTATTTAAACACAAAATATCACATTGTGACTGTAATACATGTGATCAATTTTTGGATGAAAATGATATCACAATAATACAGTGTTTCTCATACTTTTTCTTGCCATTATAAATGTATAGATAATACTATTGGATCAGTAATTATGTGTGACTACAAATTATGCTTATTTATTACACTTATATATGCTTATCCAGAGTTACTGTACGTAACAAAGTAAACATAATAACTCTAGACACCTTAATCACCTTAAAAGTGAAGGTCTGCAGAAAAATATAACAAAATAACTTGAATAACAAAACAAGTGTTCTTGAAAAATGTATACTACAACAAAGGTTAATATCTTAGGAATCAATGTACAAGAAAAGAATGATGAAAAATATAATGAATATGTTGAAAAGTTCCTGCTAACCTTTTACCGTGATTAATTACATTTTTAATACATAAATGATCTATAAATAACTTAGAAGAGACCAACCAAATGAAAAAATATTTATATTCCATAAATATGGATTTGAAAAAAACAATGCAATTATTTTGGATCGCACGTTGTAACAGGTTAAATCTGTAATAAGAGAAAATGCCATACTTTTCGACATATTTTGTATTTAGAATATCCAGGTTGTAATATATTAACACACATATACTGGAGTACAGGTAACCCCCATATAACACGGCACTTCTATACCACAGATTCACTCTAACACAGTTCGAGAATTGGTACCATCCCCCGTATAACACGGTACTTTTATAGCACGGATTTACTCTGACACAGTTCGAGAATTGGGTAAAACCCTCGTACAACAGGAAATGTAATAAATTTTTATATACTTAAGTAATAATAGTTCACGAAAATTATTATTTTTGTGAACTATTAGTACTTAAGTATGTAAATTTTCTCTTCTCGCCTTCTGTCAATACACGCAGTCCTTCTCGAAACTTGTTTCAATGTTGCCAGATCGCAACGCTTCTGCTTCTGAGGTTGCCGAATGTTATTCCCTTATTCCACACTTGCTTTATTCTTCATAAGTGCTTAGCACCATTTAAGGAAATTTATAAAGACCTTTTATCTAGAAGCAAGCAATCTAAAATTACATACATTTTGCAGAAGGTAAAGCATGGATCTGAAGATAATGCAGAAAAATGCTCAGAGGATAAGGATAACTTGCCAAAAAGAAAATGCTCTCGGTTAATAGTTTTTAGTGATGACAAAGAAAACATTGTTTAATTTATATTAATATGTATCACTTCTTAAGAAAATTTTAATAAAGATATTTATCTTAATTATGAAAATATACTAGCATGTTTTTTAATTTTTGGAACCTAACCCTCCTTTTCGTATTAGTTCTTTGTTTCGTATAACATGGATTCGCATAACACGGCAATTTTTTGGAACGTAACTACCATGTTATACGGGGTTACCTGTACTACATAACACAGAATAAAGTGCTATTTGAGATTAGTGAACAAGCTGGAATGACAATAAATAATCATTAAAATTATAATACACTAATCTTAAATTAATATACATTTTAGGAATTTCAGTTTTAAATATTTGAACTGGCAGTACACTCACATATTAAGCAAAAATTACAAATTCAAGTTGCTCTTTGGGTTAATGTTTTTCCAAATTTATCTAACATTAAATTATTTAAAATTTTACCAATTAATGTTAACATTATTTAAAATATTTTCGTTTATAATTCAAATTATTGAATCACTAAATAAATTAGAATGCAAAGATTGTAACTTAATTAAAAATCTCCAGAATTTTTAATTTTAAAACTTCTGGAGATTTATAATGGAATTATTATTTGATATTAATGAACTTTAACCACCAAATAGTCTAAAATTTATCAGAACAGCATTATTGATAGTAATACATACATATTACATATTGTCCATGTAAAATTTTTCATCAAACTGTTCTTTTGTTCATTTTAACTATGGTAGTCAGTTTGTAATAGCCACAGTAACAAATTAACACATTGGCTCATAATAGAAGAAAAAGATATTTTAATACAATATCAGTACAAATAGCTGATTTAAAAATAAAAACAAACTCTTTCAATAGAAAAATATATATATATGTATATATATTGCAACTAAACAAAATTTATTTCCTCAACAATACATCATCAGACATTTTTTACTTGTTCTCTTACTTTACCTGCACTCAAGACAATATTTTAATTTTAAAAATTCATACAAAACTGCTATAATTCCTTAAAATTTTTACTTTCCTGAATGTTATATATAAACAAAAAATGATCCCCTAAGATTTTTACATTTTTGGACTCAGGACCTTGAAATGTTGAGAAATGCAAAAGAAATCAGGGCATTTTTCTGTATGTATTGATATTAGTGTATGTGCAATGCATGATGCTTGGGGAGACAATTTTGTTCACCCACTTTAAAGCTTAATAATTCCTGTGCCTTTTGTCAAAAACTTTTGCAAGAAGATTTGTGTATTAGGGGGATTGATGTTGTTAAATTTTGATGGTTAAACTTCTATTCCCTTGACCTTGAATTTTAACCATCAAAGTGGAAAGATAGATGGGAATCATGTGTCATATTTCAAGTGGGGGTGGACTTAAGATTTTATTTGTTATTAACATTTACATTTTTTAAATAAAACTCATCTCTATCGTGAAAATTAACCTTTTTGTCATTTTATAATATTTAATAATATAAAAAGTTTCTAAAATAAAAACTCACTGCTTACAGTTAAAAAACAAAATGTTAAAAATAAATGAATTTTTCTTAATGTTACAGATAGCATAATACTGTTTTGAAATTAGCTTATACTTATTTTTAAAAGCCCGAGAAATTAAATCATTAATATTCAGTAGATTAAAACCTCAATTTAACAGACTAATTTGGGCAAGGACTATCCATTATATAATAAATATTAGGTTTTCCAAATGCATGTATTAAAAAATTGACAAATTAGTAGTTTATTTGTTTTTACTTATGTAGATACATTTGTGTAATTAAAATTAAGTATGTATGAGAAGTTTAATTTGACAGAAAAGTTTTCTATGTGTATTATTGCTTATGCACTCATTGTAGTTCTGAGAATGTAATAAACAAGTATATGATCAGAATCAAAATAAACATTTTTTTGGAAAATACACTTTAATTGTACTTAATTAAAACCATGACTCAGATATGAAAAAACCTGTTAATTTAATTATTTATAAAAAGTATTTTTAAATTAATATGGTGTTAATTTTCACATATAATATACAAACTGGAAATTTTGTCCATTAAATTGAGATTTTATTGAATTTTAATCTTTGCACAATGTTTTCTGCAACTTTAATTAATCATCATCAGTCTAACCATAAGCTATTAAATTCTGTAACATCAGTTTAAAAATTATTTGAATGTCGAAATAGCATATTTTCCATTTTTTTTTCTTTCCTTCTTTTCTTTTTTAAACTAACAATAAGATTAAGAATGACAAATATATGCATTTTAAAATATTTATATAATTAATATAAAATTTATTTACACATATCTGTTTTCTCTTTAAAATTTAAAATGTATCACCAAGGATGTCAGATTTATTGTTTTACTAACATGTGTAATAACCTAATCAATCACTCCTTTGTAATTAATCTGAATATATAATTCATGCTGATTAATTACAAATAATTATATATAAATCATAATCAAGATGAATATATTTATTATGTTTTCATTTTATCTCATAATAAAAATGCTTTATACTTTTAATAAACAAAAACTTTACCAAAATAGTTTATGTGATAAATTTTCAGTCTCAATTTGGACAATCCTCAGCATACATGTAAACTGAAAGCAGATTACTGAAAAAATATTTATACAATTACAATATACAATCTCATGTCAGAAAAATAGAAACAACTCTCATAACAGTAGCATCACTTATCACATCTGCAAATTTTAAGATATCTTTCATGTTAATTTGACAACAGGCTATACAAACAGGAGTAAATTGATTTAAAGTTCTTGATCAACAGAAGTAAAAAAAAAAAAAAAAAAAACTTAAGTGCCTTTGATCACAGACACAATAAGTGCAAAATAGGTGAGCTACTCTGGGGTAATTACTGCATTAGGTTCAGAAGTGGCACTACATAACGGTTTCAAGAGTTTAAAAAGCTACATGACACCTAGAAAAAAATGCCAGAGATGATATCAGTAGATGAAAACCTCACATTGATGTTTGATGTCTTCATCAACTGTAATCATTGTAATAACAATTGTCATTAACAACCACTAGGCTCCATTACCACATTACCCTAAATCAGGCCCGTCTGATGAATTTATGTGGCCCATGATCAATCTTTCAATATTAGCTCGATAAAAAATTCTGACGCCTAAAAGAAAAAAAAAAGTAAACAACTCACTGCGCCTTTAGAGTTAACCCTCCATTACAAATCTCGTCGTAAGCACAGTGTAGAATGTTGATAAACCATGACAATGCGAAAAATGTATCCGTAATCTCTATCTACAATTCAGTCTCTATGGGATGACACCACAATGAGATCTTGCACCACCTCAAAATCTTCCTAGGGTAGCCTCTGGTTCAGCCTGTGAAAAAAGTTTTCTTTCCAATTCGGCCCGGGGCAAAAACTGTTGGCCACCCCTGCCCTAGATCATAACCAATTTTAATTTTTGTGCACCTGTGGCCATCAGTCAATGCATTGTGCAAATGTTTCTAGCCATACTAGGATTTGGCAATTGTTCTACTAGTGTGCTCCTATTTACAGCACATCACCATACTTCAAGGCTATCCTGTGCTAGAGAACACTGCTACTAAACAGCTGAACTTTGTCATAGCGTCACATGATCAGACAAGTCAAGTTTTACGTGTCTCAAGCTGATGAGTGGGTTTATCTGTTTTATGAGATGTCATATCTGGATAAAACTTTATGAAGCCATGAATCCATCATGCTAGGAGAGGACTGTTCTTCTGTACTAGACTGACTGGAAGCAGCTACTAGGACGTCCTTGCAGATCATGTGTACCTTTTCATAGCTTTACACTCAGATGGCAATGGTTTCTTTCAGCAAGTCAATGCACTTCTATACACAGCATGGAGGGTACAGGTACAGCCAAAGGAACATTCAAAGGACTTCTGTTCATAATTTGTCCTTTGATCTGAACCCATCAAACATTAATGAAAGAGCCATTCAACAGAAAGAACTCCTTCCTGTTAATCTTGAGGAATTATGGTTTTCATTTAAGGTAGTATGGGTTGTTATAACTTCACAGCAGTACCAATTGCATGTGAACTCTCTCAGAATGTGTAAATGCAATGCAACATGCCATTAGACTGATGTTTCTATTTTTCTGATGTCAGTGTATATATTTAGACAGAATCATTTCCCATTTTATCAATTTACAATCAGTTTATTATTGTGAACTGATAGGGAGGAAAAAAGCATTCAGAACTGACATTAGCTTATGAATCAAAATTTATCTTATCTCTGACCAATTTAAAATTTTATTCTTTAGAAAATTTTTGAATATATGTTATAAGCATAGAATATAATAATAATTTATACTTATAATAATTAATAAAATAAGGCTACTGAAAGCTTTCTTGTTCTTTTTAATGTCTAATCTAATGCAGGAAGTTCAGAAAATGTTTATTGTTATTTTTTCTCATCTGACTCCTTAAAAGCTTCAATTTCTTCATATTTAAATATTAAATAAAAAATTAAAATAACAATAATTTATATCATCATTATAAAACTGTGTGTCTTAAATAAAGATTTAATCTAACATTAATTATTAATATATTTTATCCTAAAGTATTTTGGCTGCTGGATTTTGGAGTTAGTATTTAGACTAAAATTTTTGTATACCCTCTCTTAAGAATACTACAGTTTCAATGCACCTCTATAGAAAATGATCACAGAAATCCATGCTTATTAAAAAAAATAAAATGTATAAGAACTATACACATACACAATCAATTTAAAAATACATCATTATTTTTTTAATAATTTATATATTTAATTTTGATTTAAAAATATGAACTTTAAATTTGTATTAAATAGTTTAAAGTTTAAAATAGATACACAACAAACCAAAAAAAAGAACTTGTCAAAGCCTGGAAAACTTTATTTGAAATACAATAAAAAAAAAACACCTGAGATTTGTGTTGTCATTACTGCTACTGTACAATTGTATGATGCTATTTTGTTCTATTTAGCTTTCAACTTTCAAATGCTCTATATAACTTGATAGTTATTTAATACTACCAATAAATATTTATTTTAAATTAAATTTTTAAGTTTTTGTCTGTAATTTTTAGTTTGTTTCATATCTATACTTGTCATCCAGTCGTCTGAAGTAACAAATATAAATTTAAAAAATTTTTAAATTGAAAAACATTTCCTGGTTTTTTGAAACCGTGCCAGTAATTTTTAGTAATTCAAACACAAATTATTTATTGTATTTATTCAGACATTTGACAAATCTCATCATTAAATTTAATTATGAATTTGCCAAGTGTCTGAATAAATACAATAAATAATTTGTGTTTGAATTAATGTAAAACTTTTGTAAATAATGGAAACTTTTAAGTATAGCTTATTGGCACTTTAGATTTAAGAAATTAACAGAGAAAATATATAATAAGTAAAACAAGTTCTAAAACTTGAGAATCACCTGTATTTGAAATACACGATTTTACAATAATGCAAAAGACAGAAAAATCAATATGTGTGTGTGTGTATAGTTGGTACAACTAAAGTTGGCCCTTGGGTTGGTTCATTTTTGTGTTTTTAAGGGGCGATAGAATTGCTCATGAATGCACATACACTCCCTTGGGCTTCACTTTGTCTTAAAAAAAGTGTCAAATACTGTAAATGTGGTTGATTATATCAGCATTATCATCTTCTATTAAATATTTATATTTATTAGAAATTCTTGATTGCAAATTTAAAAAAAAAAAAGATGCATTATCCTATCAATCTCCCCTATAGCAGACCAAAATGAACCAATCCAATGCTCAATTCTAGTTGCATTGACTCTATACACACACACACACACAAAAACAAACAATATACAGTAGAGCGTTGTTTATCTGAAAACCGATCAGCCAAAATGTTGGTTAACCAAAAGCGTTCCAGTCAGACTGTGTCATGTTGAATTGAACATTTTTGATACTAGATTAACTTCCAAAATATAATTTTTTTGTTTTTATATTTTTCAATATATTTATTTTATTTGTACAAAATAAAGAAATAATTTTTAACGATACAATAGCCACGATTATTATTTTTAAAAATTTATGTTAGGCTTAACATTGACGAAAATTCAACGTGAAGCAACACGCAACGGAGAAAAATTTCAACATGGGATAGGTTATTTTTTTTTGTACATAATTGGTTATCCGAATAAGCACAGTCCCCAATTGATATGGATAAATGATGCTGTACTGTACAAACAATTCAAATATATTCATGATTCAAAATTACACACTTTACAAGTTATATTCTTTGACTATTAATGGCAATGCTTACATACAACATAGCATTCAAGCAAAACCAACTATTTGAAAATGTTGTAAATGAACAACTTGAAAAATAATTAAGTTTTTTCACTAATTGCTTGATAAAAATTCAGTGAATTTGGAGCCACTAATAAGTTGACACAAAACTTTCATAAAACTTTTATTCGTAATTCATAGCAAGATTTCTATTTACAAGCTAAAACTTAAACACAATTTAGCTTTAGTTCTGACAGTTCCTAAACCTAACAATTCCCTCAATTTGTTGTCAGCTCAAATCAGCACTTTGTTTACAACTACTTGTTTTTTTCTTTTCTTCCTTCCTAGTTTACACTTCACTTTCTTTGACTTCTTGTGTTTTTGAGAATCTTTCAAGATTCTTGAAAACAGCAAAATGTTATTACCCTTTTTGGAAAACTTTTGTTTGTTTGTTCTTAACTTCAGCTTATCCAAACTGTTCATTTTATCATGTTAAATTTTCTATAATACACTTCTTGTGTAGTCTTGTGTTCAATTATACTAGCTCTATGATGGCTTTTCCAATGATGGTGTAATAAGTCTAGCAAAAAAGGAAAAGCCATCATAGAGCTAGTATAATGTTAAATTTTATGTATTGAAACCATTTATTAATATAGCCAATCCCATCATTCATATCTAGTGTATCTAGTGTGTTACTAAAAGTTAAATTCATACAAGCAGAATGCAACTATGACATTTAAAATTACTTTAAATGGTAAAATGTTATTTGAATTATAAAAAAAATTATAATACATATGACATACTTAGAATAAAACCCTTGCATAATTTGATAACCCGTAATTTGGATGTTTGACATTCATTCTATTATACAATACGACAATAGAACCTTCACTATTTATTCAGGTTACAAGTACTTTCATTATTTTTCGCAATATTTTTGGAAAAAATAAATTAAAAGAAAAATAGATTGTTAGCATATCATTTCTTGTCCTAAATTTTCCCTATTATTAGAATATTAAAATTATAAATGATAATCATCTAAATTCTTCTTTCTGCTTCAATTGGATTTAATAGTAATAAATATGAATTAACATGCCTATAAAAATTAACAATAAAAATAGTTCTTTGATTCATTTTTCTGAAACTGTTCTTATAACAACAACATGCTTAATTTTTATCATCTTTTAATTAATTCTATTTTGTATTATGATGTATTGCATTATTTTAAATATATAAAAACTTTAACATAATCCAGTAACAAAATAATATAAATACCTGGCATTTAAATTGTTTTCCATTTTTACATCAGCAGAATCTGTTTCCATTGTTTGCCTGAAGAGAAGGAATAAATTTTCAGTTCTACCTTAGTGCAAAAGGGGAAAAATACAGTAAAAAAACTAAATTTAAAATCTACCTGGTTATTATCTGTTCTTTCAATTCTTCAATGTTTTCATTTTCACATACAGAATTATCATCTGGTCTACAAAATATTTTATGTTTAAAAAAATGTTTTCAAATATCACTAAATTTATTTATTTAGAAAATAACTGATTAAATAACAATATCAAGATATTTTAGAATACCTAATATTCACAAATTCTTCTGTACTTTCTTCTTCAACAGTCTTCTCTTCATGTAAACTTTAAATGAAAAAATATATACATACATTCATATAATATTCTGAGAGAATACAGCTAAAAATATTATCTAAACTAATATTATAAAGAGGTAATGTTTGTAAGTATGTATGTAAGTAAGTTTGTTTGCAGCAGGTAATCTCCGAAACTACTCATCCGATTTCAAAAATTATTTCACCAATATTTAGAATGAAACCTCAGGGTGGACATAGGCTGTATATTATTCCGTTAAACATTCATATAAATTAAAATATATAATCTAGGTTAAGGCTTTTATGTCCAACAGATGGCGCTACGAGTACAACGCCCTAAGTTTGCTTTTCTGTGAAAATGAACTAAAGCAGATCATCTATCTATCTATATAAATAAAAATGCAATGTTCGTTTGTTCCTACCGATTCCTTTGAAATTTTGACACAACGCTGCATTCGAATACGCACGTGTTTTTATATAATATACGTGCCAAAATTCCCCCCATCGAAGGGAGATGGTTAGGATTAAGGCTTACCGTAAAGAACTCTGCTTCTATTTATACTATTTTAGATGCGGTTTTGATTGCGTTTTAATAGGGTATATCAACAGAATGTACACTAAGAAGGGATTTTTCGATATTCCCCCGCGGGGAGAGAGACAAAATTAAGGCTTACCGTGAAGAACTTGGCTTCTATTATATTATTTTAGATGCGGGTTTTTGCGTTTTAATAGGGTACGTCAAGAGAATATACACTAAGAAGAAAATTTCCCCCCATGGGGGAAGTGTTATACATTTATAATAGATACATTTTGAGCTACAACAACGCATGGCGGGGTCTGCTAGTTATTTATATAATACATAAATTGTATGTTTGAAATCATATATCTAATTATATAAACAAAAACAATATACCATATTTTTCTAAAAATGTAATAATAATAATAATAATAAAGTACACAGAACTCGCCCTGGAAATAAGGCATCTGTGGAGGATGGATAGGGTGCTTATTGTACCTGTTGTTCTCTCCTGTACAAGTGTGATACCACACACACTACACAAAAGCCTGGGAACATTACAATTGAATAGAAATACATATATAACACTACAGAAAGCCACTATATTGAATACATGCCATATTGTTAGGAAATTCCTTAATACAGACACTGACACACTTATTTAATTTTAGTTTTATTTTGGTTGCTATGCCTTGACTCAGGTCTGGCATAGTACACAGCCACTGGTGTGAACCGAGTATAACCCACTAAACACAACAATATAATAATAATAATAAATCCAAATTATCTTTTATGAATTGAATTCATTAAAAATAAATCATTTATACGCATTTATAATTGTAATCAAAAGTCAAAGTAACTTGTTAGTGTTCATATACTTAACAAAATAAATAATTTATTAATTCTTTATTATGAATTATAAACATGAACTTTAACAAAAAATCTATCAGATTATATTACTATCAGTAACAAGTTACTATATGTATTTTATAAGTTAGAACAAAATTAAAAGTTATAAATTAGCATTATTTTTCTGGGATGCATCTTGTTATGTATATAAAGAATATATATGTATTAAAAATTTTGTGTGTTCTAGGATAGAGGAAAAAAAATTTTAATCAGAAAATTCTATTTATATCACAGAAACTACAATCATTTGATTAATAAGAATCTTATAAAGTAAATTCTGAGAGATTCATTAGATGTTAAAGAAAAATTAAGCACACAGCAAATTAAAAAATATATACCTGTTATTCATATTTTGATTTACTTCTTCACTTCCATTTGTAAGTTCTGTTTCCAACCTAACAAAACATTAGTATATTTCATATATAAATGTTAAATATATATTTACAACTTATATTGTTTTCTTTAAAACATATAATTTAATAATTAATAGGTAAATAATAAAAAATTTTAATATGCATAAACATATTCTACTAAAACAACAGTAATATTTTGAGATTGATTACACAAAGTTTTCGAGTTCTTAGCTGTGCAAGTTTAAGAGGAAAAGAGAAGAGGATTTTTATGAAAACTAAATGTCTAAACAGCATTGTTAATTATTCTGTGTTATCATCAACAACGAATTACTCTTATTAAGAACAACACATAAATAAGATAAGATGAAAACAAAATTATCAGTGTACCCAAAGTTGAAAAATTGATATTTTAATTTATATAATAATATATACTATAGAACTTCATTAATACAGCATCCCATGAAAAGCAGACAACAATCTGGAATTATATGATAATGATTCAGCATGCTAGTACTCCACATATTGGAATTTGTTTGGCCATTTGGTGGTAAAAATCCTGGGCAAAAAGTGTAGTGAAGGTGACGTGACAGTATAGCTGTGCCTATTGCTACACATTGGAAGGCCGACTGTGGGATCAAGAGCTATGTAATCTTAACAAAATAGTTATGTTCTGTATCATGTTCAGATTGATTAAAGAGCATGCATAAACAAATTAGAAGCATGCCTAAAGCAGTGTGCACTTGTACAAAATTTACAACACGTCTACAAATCTACAAAGTGCAGAAAATAGAAACAATAATCCAATATTCAGTTTTATAATATATGTCTTAAATATATTATTTATAAAAGTAAAGAAAATGCAATTTTTTCAAAACTTATGATAAACTAGTTTTGCATAATTCATTAGTGTAAAAAAATAATTTATTTTATATATTATCAATACTAAATATTGCAGATGATTAGAAAAAAAGGAATTGTAAAAAATTTTTTGTGGTAAAAAATGGTTAGGCAAATAAAATCTGGTATGTAATTAGATTTGATAAATATCTGATACAAACAAGTGCTTAATTAAGTTATTTTAGAAAGTTAATTAAGAAAACCGATCCATCTTGAATGAGATTTCATCTTTTCTCTATACTATCAGGCTTATGATGAAGATGATTATTATTTTTTAAAATTAAATTTTCTAATATAAAAAAATCTAATATCAAATTGTGACATAATTTTTTATTGCAATTTTAAACATATCAGCAAGTTACAAATTTTTAAAAATAACATACATGTTTGACGAGAGAAAAATGTAAGAAGTCTGAAATGAATAATCTATACCTAAAATGCTACTTTTTGAAATAAATACCTGTTATTATCTTCCTGATCACCCTCTTGAACAGTATTATCTTTGACTATGACTGTATTTTCTTGTTCTGACCTTAAATTAGAAAGTAAAACAAAAAATTAAAAAATAGTATATTTAATAAATGATTTTACTAGAAATTTGAAGATAATCCACTTAAAACTAAAATTAATTCTGAGAAGAAAAAAAATCCAGCAATGAGTTGCTTAACTTTCCTGGCAACATTTGGTGGTGCCATCTGTTACAATATTTTATTTAAAACCTTTTTATATTTTTAACTATTATAAAATGGCAAAAAGCTTAATTTTTAGGATAGGGATGGTTTTATAAAAAGTTTTAAATGCTAATAACAAGTAAAATTGTCATTAAGTCCGACCCTACTGGAGATATGACACATGAAGCCTTTCATCTCCCTTGACCTTTAACCACCAAAATTTAACGGCATTAATGTCCCAATAGACAAACCTCCCTGCAAAATTTCAGAAATTTTTGACAAAAAACACAGGAGTGAATGAACTACAAAATGAGTGAACAAAATTGTGCTCGACACATATTAACATCCATACATACAGAAAAAACCCCAGAATTTGTTTTTTTTTTTTTTTTTTGCATTTCTTGAGGTTTTAAGGTCCCAAGTCGAAAAATTAAAAAATCTGGGAATCATTTTTTGACCAATTGCCATACTTTTCCTCAGTTATATATAACAGAGCCAAGAAAGTAAAAACTGCTTTCCATATCAATATCTGAAGGAGTGAGTTGTCTAAACTTCATAACATTGTCACCAATAGAAGAGTTTCACTAGCCAATCATATTTTTCGTATGGATAATAATAGGATACCTAAGACAGCCATGAAATGGGTCTCCCTGGTGCCAAATGACCATATGGATGCCCCAGGAATACTTGGCATAGAACTTTTCTTCAAGATTTGAAGATGCTTAATGTGATGTGGGAGGAAGCTGAAACCACTGCCCAGGATTGAAATTGATGGAATATAATTGCTGCCCTGTATGCTACTTAGCACTGAAGGAACCATCACCACCAATATAAATTGCAAATATGATTTATTTAAGATGCACAATTTTTCTTGGTGATCAATACCAATATCTTATTAAAATATAAAATATTATTTCTCTACTATTCATTATATATATATTTATTCATAGTATTTGATAAACTATTTTTAATTATAAAAAGATATTTAGACATATTTCACTATTATTTTTTTTTCAGTTTTTTATAATTTGTTAATTTGTAAAAATACATAATTATTCAAATTAGATAATGTAAAATTTATGCAAAGCATAATTTAGAAAACTTTACAATGAACATAATTTACTAATAGTTATTAGACTACAGTCAACCTTGGTTTTTGAACTTAATTTTTTCCTAAAAGTTATTCAAAAACTAATTTGTTCTAAAACCAAAACAAATTTTTCCATAAAAAAGCAATATGAAATTAATCTGTCTTGTTCCCCAAAATAAATCCCCCTTTTTTTTAAACATTTTTAGCAGTATTCCATGCATAACAATGCCCACAAATGCAATATATTATTATATTAATAAGTTTTTGTTATTTAATTTTACTTAAGCGCCTTTAAACAGAAATTCTTGGATGCTACTTATATTATGTGCATGTCAATTAAAGAAGTTTTTATTAATTAGTTTCACTTAAACTCAACTGTGGTGCATACTGAAAAATAAAAGTAGTATCTTTCCAGCATGCACATTGAAATCTAATTTAAACAGCAATGTCATTGATGATTTGTGCCATGATGTCTAATGATGCAAGGTGATCCCAGCACCACTAATTTCTGAATCAGTAGTCCTGTTGTTGATTGGTTGATCCTTAGATTCTCTTTAACATAGGAAGTATAGGAAGTTGACCACCTGCCCTCTAATCTGTGGCCAGCTCTTGCCAAGTAGTTTGTTCAGCAACCAAGTTATTGTAAGGTAACCAAAGCAAATATGAGTTCATAATTCTATTTGTGAACTGATTTGTTCAAAAAGTGAGTTGTTTGAAAACTGAGGTTTGACTGTATATTGAAAAAGAAAATGTAAAATTCTGAAGAGGAATAAAAAAAATTATCTCTCTTTTTACCAGTGTAAAAAATTTTCTACTTAAATGACAGCTAAAATTATTATTATACTGAATACGAATTCCTTAATTTAAAACAAATATTGCTATCAAAATTATTAAATTTTTTACATATATTTTTTAAATAATTTAAAAAAAATAATTAAAAATTATTATTATATACCTATTAGCATCATCTCCCTCATCATTTACCACCTCAGCTAACTGAGTCTCTTGTTCTGACCTTCAATCAAAAAATAAATAATTAAAATCATACATTTTAAGAATAATTTATTTATTTATTTTTAAATAATACTGATTTAAGGGATTCATATACAAATTTTTTACATAAATCTTTCTATTCTTCTAGTAACAAGAATTACAATATGCTAATGTTTCTTCCTCTATGTTATATATAAAATAAAACCATGCTACTCTTAAACTTCATTTAACAGAATGTAACCAATTATTTTACTAGAAAATTTGAAATTTAAAGCAATAAAAAGTAAAAGCATTCATAACAACCTTAATCATAAATTTAACAAATCAAAACAGAAAAAAATTTATATGGTACAATTTCAAAATTCCTAAATAATGAAAATTTACTAACTTGCAACAACCTCTTATAGCTTATTGCTGAAGTTTGAAGGTGTTTTATCTTTCTTACATTTCATCATTATAAATGTAATTGTCTTTTTAAAAAATGTTAATTTATTAAGTTTTTAATTATTAAACATTTTAAAACAAAAAAATTTGTCTGATATCAGAAAGATCCACAAATCTTATCACCATCATTTATAGTAGAAAAAAATAAATAAAACTTCTATGCTTTTGTAAATTTTTTCATCTGATGTAGATTATTGAAGACAAAGTCTGCCCAAAAGGGACCACCAATTTGTCTTCAATTTTATTAATATTAATAATCTCCATCGAACGAAAAAATTTACAAAGGAAAAATCTAAATGTATCATCACCAAGGGGCAGCTTCCAAAATCTACATTTTGCAGCACTTGTTCCAGTAGATAAAAGCAGAAACACCCCACAAGATGGATGAAAAGCAAGACATCTGTATGTCACCAGTTCCTTTTTTAGAAATTTTATAATTTTAATTGGATATATTTGTGTTTTTTAAAGGACTTTTTTAAACTCTGGCGGCATGTAGCCTATAAAGGAAAGTCGGTCACCATAAATGTGTATAGTCTGGAACACAAGAAATAAATGGTGGACCCTTTTGGGCAGACTTTGTCTTCAATTTTATTAACTTCTATGCTTACAATACACTTATTGGCAACCTTTAATATAGTATTATTTTTTTCTATTTCACATAATATCTAAATGTTTTTAAATTTCTAATTAAATATTTTGAAACAAATAATGCATTGATAATATATAATATTTGTTTTTTTATCAATATATGAATACTTGCTGCAAGGACCCGCTACGCTGGGTTTTTATTCGTATGTAATATAGTTTTTTTTATATATAAAAGACTGTTTTTCTAAGTAATCTAGAATCTAGCTGCAAGGACCCGCTTTGCTGGGCAAAAAGTAATGATAGTGAAGACTAAGATAATTACATTATAGCCAATCTTACCCGTTTTCACAGAATGCAAGAATTAGATCCCCCGTTTCCAGACTAATTAGAGAATTTTTACGTCCAGTTAAACGAACTATTTTATATTGATATCTATCTATCTTCTCAGCAATATTAGCTATTTATATTAATAAATAAACACACCTGATTTGTATTTGCCGAACTATTTTCAATTTGATCAATTTTCTGGAACGTTTACAATCGTTCTATAATCGAACCAATTCGAATTCGAAAATTTTGAAAATCGAAATAGAAAGACTGTTTTTGTAAGTAATCTAGAATCTAGCTGCAATGACCCGCTTCGCTGGGCAAAAAGTAACGATAGTGAAAATTAAGATAATTACATTATAGCTAATCTTACCCGTTTTCACAGAATGCAAGAATTAGGTCCCCCGTTTCCAGACTAATTAGAGAATTTTTACGTCCAGTTAAACGAACTATTTTATATTGATATCTATCTATCTTCTCAGCAATATTAGCTATTTATATTAATAAATAAACACACCTGATTTGTATTTGCCGAACTATTTTCAATTTGATCAATTTTCTGGAACGTTTACAATCGTTCTATAATCGAACCAATTCGAATTCGAAAATTTTGAAAATCGAAATAGAAAGACTGTTTTTGTAAGTAATCTAGAATCTAGCTGCAATGACCCGCTTCGCTGGGCAAAAAGTAACGATAGTGAAAATTAAGATAATTACATTATAGCTAATCTTACCCGTTTTCACAGAATGCAAGAATTAGGTCCCCCGTTTCCAGACTAATTAGAGAATTTTTACGTCCAGTTAAACGAACTATTTTATATTGATATCTATCTATCTTCTCAGCAATATTAGCTATTTATATTAATAAATAAACACACCTGATTTGTATTTGCCGAACTATTTTCAATTTGATCAATTTTCTGGAACGTTTACAATCGTTCTATAATCGAACCAATTCGAATTCGAAAATTTTGAAAATCGAAATAGAAAGACTGTTTTTGTAAGTAATCTAGAATCTAGCTGCAATGACCCGCTTCGCTGGGCAAAAAGTAACGATAGTGAAAATTAAGATAATTACATTATAGCTAATCTTACCCGTTTTCACAGAATGCAAGAATTAGGTCCCCCGTTTCCAGACTAATTAGAGAATTTTTACGTCCAGTTAAACGAACTATTTTATATTGATATCTATCTATCTTCTCAGCAATATTAGCTATTTATATTAATAAATAAACACACCTGATTTGTATTTGCCGAACTATTTTCAATTTGATCAATTTTCTGGAACGTTTACAATCGTTCTATAATCGAACCAATTCGAATTTAAAACGGTTCGAACATTTTTAAAATTGAAATAGAAAATCTTCAAAGTCAACTACTTTAAGCCCCAATATCTCCCGCACCCTTATAGCTATCGAGACGCAACCACCATAGTGCACGAATGGAGACTTGGGGCTACTACCACATACAAATACCATTCATGTGCGATGTGTAGTTTTGGCTGAAAAGTGAAATATAGGGACACACACGTCCATTTTTATATATATAGATATAGATAATTAAGATAAAAATTATGAATTAGAAAAATCAAACGTACTTTTATAAAATACACACAACTTTTTAATTTTTATACTAATAAGCTTAAATTTGAAAACAAAAATTTTTATTGGAATTAAAGTAGATTTAAGCATGTTTATTTTGTTAATCACAGATAACTTATGCATAAATTTTAAATGAAAGCTAATGATAAAAATAAAAGAAAAAACTAGAGAACAATGCAATTCTTTTGTTGTGAAAAATTTTGTATAACTTCTGTAATCATGAACAGTTACAAATGTTATAGTCACTAATACAAAATGATCAAGCAAAACATGGATAATCTAGAAGGCTGTCTAAATAATTTAATTGTAATAAGAAATTTGCTTAATAGAAAGATGTCTTAATAGCATTTAAAATTATATTCTGTAAGAAATTTTATAAAAGCATCTGCTAGAAATTAAAAGAAAAAAAAAATGGTTTAACAAATTTAAAACAATTTCCTAATATTGAGAATTATTGTATTCAGTATGTATGAGTATGATATACAGTATAATTTTCACACTATCGACAATGATACTGATTGATGTCAAATCAACATCGAGTAATAAATATAATATTAAAATGATACCAGTAACAAATGCTTTGAAACATTATACATACATATAAGTATATTTAAAAGATTTGATTTATCATGATAGTAAGTTGTGAGTGTATGTATCTGTTTCAAAAACTCTGTATTATTGTGATACATTTAATATTGCTGATTTCTACAATATGATAAAAGTAGTCAGATAAGACAATCTACAGCTTGCCATTCGTTCATTTAAAAAAAAAAAAAAAACTAAATTAATATAAACAATAAATATGAAACCAGAAGTACTGATAAATGTATAAGAAATTATAAGTTATTTTCATTAAATATATTTTTTAATATGCTGATAATTATAAATATATTCAAAATTCTCACAAATGCAATTATAAACTTTAAAAAATAAAATTGTGAAAGAAATAAATGAAAAAAATCTTATATAAATTTAATTATAATAGAAACCCACTTGTCAGTTTATGATACTAAGACAGTAAAAATTTACTGGAAAATATAATGGTAAAGTCAAAGAATCTAAAAGTTGAGTAAAAAAAGGAAACCCTGTTAAGTGGATGACATTTAATCAGATGCAGTTTTTCAGTTCTTTCTTGCCTACTTGCAACAGTTATTTTCTTAGGCACAAATTTATTCAGAAAGAAACAGCATCAGTATTTTGTCAAAATTTAATTTATAATCATTTTTCTGTTAATAATATAAATTTAAAAAATAATCTGAAATTGAAAAAAGAATGTCAACTCACAATGTTGTTTTGGAAGTGTTTTTATACTAAAATGGAAGGAATAAGTTCAATAGCCAAAATGGCTGGAAGGAGCATCACTACAACAAGGGCAAAATTGTACATATTTTCATTTCTAATTATTTTAAATGAAATTAAACAGTAAAATAAATGCAATAGGCTAACATACTTTAAATAAGTTTCTAAGTGATGTATAAACATATATATAATTTATACACAGGTATCTTAACAAATTAAAACAGTGACTGGATTTTGTCTTAGCATATTCTATATATATAAATAATCACATTCAAGATATATAATGTTTTTGAATCATTATTATTTATTATGCACAAGAAAATGATCTAATCATAAGTTAATACTGGGATCAGTCATTATATGGAAAATAATAAATATTAGATAGCTTTTGCATTAAAAGAAATTTTTTTATACTTTAGTATAGAAAAAATTTGAGACAGAGAAAGAAATTTTAAAAAGCTTCCTTACTATGTTACAAATATTTAGAGTTGCTACTTTTTAGTAGTCTTTTACTGATTAAGTCTAATGATGTATATTATGTATGATTTGGAGAGTAGTATCAATAAAAGAAATAACAGACTATAATAACTTTGTTTATATCTGTCATTAATTCTTGCTTTCAATACATCTAGAATTATTTTTCAGTTTGTATGTTCTGTAAGTTATTAATATCAGAATTATATATACTATTTTACACAATTAAATATATATATAAAAACATTACTAAAATAAATTCAAGTTGAAATAAGTTAAAACCACACAAAAATTTCAAAATTCAATCAAATTAATTTAATAAACAGAAAAAAATAAATTGTAAATGAAGTTATATTAAAAACTATTCTAAAAAAGCAGAGTACTAAAATTGTAGTAGAAAATAATCTTAAAAAACAATGACTTTCTACAAACCTTTCATTAGTAGAATTTTCATTTTGGTCAATATTGTTATTACTGCTGTGTCCATTTTCTTCTCTGTAAGATAAAAAAAAAACCTTTTTAATTTTATATATTAAAGAGATCACTAAATAATATAAATGTTATAAAAAAGTTAATTTTAGTGTTTTTTTTATAATTAACTAATAACTAATTTTAAAAAAATCTTATTGATGTCCTGTAATAACAGCTTTTTTACATTTTGTTTACTTTACTAATTGAAATAATAATAATTATATACTAAAGTTTTATTTTCTACTTTTTTTGTAATAATTAAAAAAAAATAAAATAAAATAAAATAAACAACACCAACCCTTGTTCACTGATGACAGGAATACTATCATCTTCAGGTTTAGAAGCAGCTTCTTCAGCTTTTTGTCTACAAAATTTAAATATTTCAAAAAAATATTATAATTTGAAAATATAGGTTTATATTTCTTTTTAACTTAAAATTTTATTTGAATCTTGAAAGAATTAAATTTGTTGTTTGTACAAATTTTTTGTTTTATTTCTAAATTTGATACTGAAAAAAAAAAAAAACTATACCTTTTAGCTTTTGCGGCTTCAAGATATTTATTTGGTAGGCCAGATTTTAAACAATAATCATTATAACTCTGCCTTGATATTCTTCTAACTTCTTTCCTTAATTCTTTAAAAGCTTCAATATTTGACTTTGATGGCGATCTTTTCATTCGTTTATGTGCTCTAATTTTTTCTTTTAATAATTTCAAAATTGCATCATCAAACCATGGCTTTTTAGCAAACACATGTTTTGGTGCTGCAGAATCTTGAGATTTCTTCTTCTTTTTCTTTCCTAAAAATATAACATATATTATAAGATATTCATTTATATTTCAAATTCTGATTATCTATCTGTAATTTATTAATTTTTACATAAAGCTAGCCTAAGCACATCATTAAGGATGCTTAGTGAAGATACTGTAATGGGATTAATTTTGATATGGTTAAATAATTGGGTATAACATATATCCCAACACAAGGAATCTTATTGGATAATTATAATACAAATGAAAAGTTTGCCTAACAAACAATAAATATTTATCTTATTTAAATGGATAATTTCTTCTGGCAAGAGACAGAATCAGAAAGTAGAATGGATTAATCTCTGCTCTACTTTCATCTATATCACTTATCAACTATAATTTCAACTATAGTCTGTATTTTTATTTCCTTTTTTATTTGATGTCTGTGAAAATAAATTGACACTAATGTTTTAATAATTTTCTGAACTAAATTAATCAGTGGTAACTAAGAGGAATTACTTTATTCCTTAAATGTTCTAGAAAATGAAAAATAATTTCATTTTGAGATTTCAATTTATAAAGTTAGGGTAGAATGCAATTCATAAATATATATAAGATTTTTATATAATCATTTAATGTATTAATATGAGAAAAAAAATGTGAACTCAAATTAACATCAGAATAAAATTTAAAAAATTACTCATTTAAAAATAACATTTAAATAGCTTAAAATGTATATTTTAAAAATTCAAATCAAATAAAATTTTAATGTTATAAATCTTCTCAAAAATGTTTGATATAAAATTTCAAAATGGCTGATCTATATTCATTTGCTGGAAGAAAATTCCTGTCAACTTGTTATCATAAAATGTCAAATAATTAAATAAAATTAAGATTTTAACTGGATAAGTGTTTTAACAATTGTACATTTATTTCTGTCCATAATCTTTGGGACAATCTTCCAAAATAACAAATTCTTTAGCATTTAATATAATGTATTGAATTCCTTTATGTTGGATTTTTTAAGATTAATATCATAACTGAAGCTACTTATGACAAATATCAAATTGGTAACAACAATAAATCTAAAAAACCATATTTAGAATGAACATAGAACTACAGTGGTACCTCGGTATACATCTGCTTTAGAATACGTCCAATTTGGAATATGTCCTGTTTGGATGAAACAAATTTTGCTTGGTATACGACTTTTGTTTGGTATACGACTTAATTCAATTACAGTAGAGTGTCGTTTATCCAAAAGTCAATTATCCGAAAGAATTCCAGTTGGCAAATTTAAATTTTCGCCAGTGCNACAATGGAACTGAAAAAAGAGATTGTTGAGAAATATGAAGGTGACATGTGTATTCGAGATTTAACTGTTGCATGTGTATTCCGAGAATGACAATATTGACAATTGTGAAAAATAAAGACATTATTAAATCTGCTAATGTTGCAAAAGGGGTTAAATCAATTTCTAAACAGAGATCAAAGACATTAGATCATGTTGAGAAATTGCTTTTGCTTTGGATAACTGAAAAACAGTGTGCTGGAGACAGCGTATCAGAAGCAATTATTTGTGAGAAAACTTAAAAGATACATGCTGATCTCATGAAAAATCAAGCAGGAAGTAGCCAGGAAAGTGAGGTGTTTAAAGCCATTTTTTTACATGAGAACAAATTAATCATTTTTACATTACTTCTTATGGGAAAGGTTGGTTTGATATATGTTCTATTCGGTATAAGTCCAAACATCAGGAATGGATTAAGATCATATACCGAGGTTCCACTGTATATCAAATTTATATTTTCATTGAAAAGTTCATTTATTATTAAAATTTTGTATATAAATTTAATATCAAAAATATTTTAATTTCTTCACTTAAATTCTAAAGCCAAGTTATGAGCAAGCATATTCAGGCACAGTCATAAATGAGTAATTTAAGAATTTGCTTATTTATTATTAAAAAAATATACAGAATGATCATAATTAAAAGTACTATTCAACACTGTCTGAAGGGATGGGATATGTAGCAGTCCAAACTCAACTAAAATTTTCTGTTTCAGGAGATTTTATGCAGAAGATTTCCATAGAGAAAAATTGTTCCAAAACTCACTACTACAGAAGATGCAACAAGTGCAATTAGCAAAAATCTTGATGCAATTTTTTAAGGTGTTGTAGTATGAAATGCAGTTACAGCATTAGTATTGTTTTTATTAAACAAGACAAGCATATTCAGCCAGTCATAACAACTGCTGCTGATCTCCATTAATATGAATAATGTTTCATATGCCATAGACATTTTATATCTAGAAATTGACATAATAATATGTCAATTTCTAGATATAATATTCAATGTGTATTATGCATAAGATATATATTATTTTTGCCTCATGTGGCACCACAAGTTCTATAGTGGTAAGTTTTGAAATTAAATTTTTTTCCCTGTAGAATCTCTCCTGTGTCCAGAAACATCAGCATAAAAAATTTGGTTGAGTTTGGATTGCTCCATATTCCTTCAGATAGTGCTGAATAGGAATACTTTACAATTACACAGTACGTTAGATTATTTATTATGTCTTTCCTTAAATGATTTAGCCTATACAGTTAACGTTAAAATAAGGTTAGATCCAGAAAAAATCAATAGCAGATTATATCAGATAAAATCAACTTTTAAATAATGACAAAAAATGCAAAGAATTTTACCTTGTCTGTTTGCATGAAACTGTTTAGGTGTTCTTGAAAAACGGCCTCTGCCCCGTCCACGATGAGGAAAATTCCCTAAAATTTAAATTTAAAACATGCTATAATTTTAATTATTGTTTTTAATAAGTTCATTTTATTAATTTAGATTTGAAAAAAGTTGTACCTCTTCTGGAATGAAAAGGACCACCACCTGGTCTGGATGGCATATGGAAAGTATCATCTATCATAACATGAAAAAACAAATTAATTTCAAAGTTATAAAAAATAATTATAAATGAATTCACAAATACAATCAAACCCAATTTATGTTTTTCAAGAAAGCTGAGAAAAATATCATATAAGCAGAGGGAAAAACATACAAATGGAACTGCTATGAATTTCTTTCAGAATGAATATAATTATCATAAAAATACAATGCAGCACAAATTAACACTATACAACTGAATTTGTATGTGTATTCTTAACAAAAAGTATCAATTTATAATATATATATATATAATTAACTGAAAACATACTTAAATCCAGTAAAAAAAAAAAAAAATACAAACAATCAATGATTCAAATTGTATTGTTTATCACATGCACAAGGGTTAAATATACAAATTGGTTAAAATATCTAAAGAAACTGACCTAAAATAAAAATACTACACAAAATTAATATAAATAAAAGTACATTATATAAATGAGTAAGCGTGTAACAAAAAAAGAGATGATAAATTAAACAAGACAATTTCAAACAATGCCCCCCACACACATAATAACAGCACCATATCTCTACTGTTAATTGCACTCCCTTTACGAAGTGCCTTGTAGATTTAGAGTATCTCCAAATATTTTAGATGAGATGGAGTTGATGCACAATGCAAAGTATCCTATCAAAAAAGACATCAATGTCCCATCAGAGGTAAAAGCCACTAAGGTAGTTGTAGTCAAGCATTTTCTGACTGATTCTTGATGTTCTTTGCTCCTAGTATGCAGAGATCTACACATGGCACCGAATATATTCATAGGGGTGATTATCCTGTTGTCATATAAAGGTACAAAATGGCTGATCTATATTCATTTGCTGGAAGAAAATTCCTGTCAACTTGTTATCATAAAATGTCAAATAATTAAATAAAATTAAGATTTTAACTGGATAAGTGTTTTAACAATTGTACATTTATTTCTGTCCATAATCTTTGGGACAATCTTCCAAAATAACAAATTCTTTAGCATTTAATATAATGTATTGAATTCCTTTATGTTGGATTTTTTAAGATTAATATCATAACTAAAGCTACTTATGACAAATATCAAATTGGTAACAACAATAAATCTAAAAAACCATATTTAGAATGAACATAGAACTACAGTGGTACCTCGATATACATCTGCTTTAGAATACGTCCTGTTTGGATGAAACAAATTTTGCTTGGTATATGACTTTTGTTCGGTATACGACTTAATTCAATTACAGTAGAGTGTCGTTTATCCAAAAGTCAATTATCCGAAAGAATTCCAGTTGGCAAATTTAAATTTTCGCCAGTGCTGTGGCGCTGCAATCTTTGGCTATGTCTTGGGCTACTCAAATATTTTACGTTTTTGATACTAAATTAACTTCTGAAGTATAATTTTTTATTGTTTTTATATTTTTCAATATATTTATTTTGTTTGTACAAAATAAAAAAATAATTTTTAATGATACAATAGTCTTC